ATGCTCCTGTTCTCGCGTAAATAATGAATGTCATTCAAAATTTTACCCGACACGTTGGAGAAACAGAATTGGTGGATCAGAGCTCAATTTTGCAGCGTGCTAATTTGCTGAAAACCGGTTCGACTTCGATCGAAACTCATTTAAAGAGTACCGAAAGCGAATTTTATCTAGAGGTTTGGTACTACTTTTGCGCCCGAACCTCTGAGCTGCCATTTTTTCTTTGAGTTCGGAGCTTCCGATTTGGTAACTAACGGATTGCAACGTAGGTGCGTGATTTTGATACCACTTCGCGAAGTGGTTCTAAAACAGGGTTCGATCTATCGAAAACCAACGGATCTGATTAGCCGAATCTGGTAACAACGGTGTCCATCTTGGTGATTGATGAGACGAACCGGGACAGAACTTCTCAAAGAGGTTCGGAACTTTAAATAAAATTAGCTTCAAGAGTTATCTGAGGCGGCTGTTTCGGCAGGATTTTAAGAGTACCTCAAGATTTAACTTTGAGAATAAGCTTTTAACCAGTGGCGTGGCCTGCTTTGCGATGTATCGATTGTTATGCCATTTAAACCTATGGAAAAGTATCGATAATCAGGGTGTCGCAGCAAACACCTTATTTATCAATTCTTTACCACAGGTTTAAATGACAGAACAATCGATATATTGCAAAGCAAGCCACACCACTGCTTTTAACCACGAATCAGCATCATCGATCCGTCGTCCGTTGCCCTGGCTCTAGCCACGCTCCGTCTACGCTCAGCCTCCGCGAGCGGCGTTGCAAAATTTAAAAAAAATCACCGAAAAATCTAGCGATTCCTGAGTGGGAACTTTGGATTGGGCGCGCGCCGTTGACGATATGGCATCAGTCGCGAGGCTCAGATTTGAGGTGTCTGCAATCGCGCTCCCTAGTCTATTTCCGTGTGTTCCTCCATTGTTGCCTAGTTTTAGGTTACCATAATAATAGACAGAGTCTTCGCATTGGAACCCATTGACGAGTAGGATTGTGCTATTGAAATCCCACTTTAATTTAAGAAGGGAGAAATATTTCTAAAATTTAATGATAATTACCTGTCAAATGATGTAAACGTGTCAAAGAGTGCTGATTCGACGTGCGTTTACCTAGATTTTTTTGTGAGTGCAGAGTTGCTAAAGGAAATTTCATCGAATGAAGTTTTGTGAAATTTCACAAGAAATTTCATGAAATTTCTTTTTTCCCCATGAAATTTCTTGAAATTTCCTCATGAAATTCCTTCTTACAATCTTTCACGAAATTTCTTAACTCTGTGTGAGTGGAAGTGTGGAATTTCGCTTTTTGTGTAACTTGAGACACGAACTTCTTACTTATAAAGTTATGTCGGTCCTCTCCAACATTTTTGAAATTTCTTCGAAATTTTTAAAGGATTTGGGTGAAATTGCAAACAAAAGCATCTGAAAAATTGGGAGAAAAATATTCATAAGTTCACCAGGAAATTCGTGTCTTATCAAAGAAAATTTGACAACGCCTGAAGGTTCATACGGCGTTTTTCCTTAGCACGGCAGTATAATTCTTCAATTGGGCTACATTTTGCAATACGCAGCTAGAACTCGCCCGGCTCATTTTGAAAACAACATAAATGTCAAAACTTTTCTCGTCCAGATAGGTGATTCTATGGATAAGCAAGGATTGGGCCTTGGTTCCTTTTTGCGAAATACAGGCAAGCTCTCACCCAGTCCGGTGTTCTGTCCTCTAGGACCTCGTTTCAATGCCTCGTCCTTGAATTCTACCGATTGCAGTGGCAGGCATGAATGATCGATTATCGATTTTTGCCCATTTGAAGTTGTGGTAAAGAATCGATTATTAAGATGTTCGTTGCGAACACCCTGTTTATCGATCCTTTTTCATTGGTTTAAATGGCAGAACAATCGATATATCGCAAAGCACGCCACGCCACGGATCGATAGATGCCTCTAACAAAACGACTTGAAGTAATGTGTCTTCACTTCAAACGAACTTGTCATGATGAAACAAACATGTCTCAAGAAAGGCTGGTTAGAATCGATAAAGCTCAACACCTTAGAATACACATCCCATCTTTCTGGAAATAACAGCCGAGAGGCCGCAGTCTGACAACGCTGGAAGAAGTTATTGCACTTATATTACAGTCACGCGCCATAAAGTTACGGTTGAGGGTAACCCCGGCTCCCCATCTACTGCTCCGTTGAGGCACACATAACATAGAAGTTACTTACCGATTCACTCGCCAGTAAGTGCCTCGGTCCTTCGGAAGCATGCACTTTTTTGCCAGTTCACAAAACACTGAAAAAAAATTCTCGGCGTTTTTACCAAGGTCCGTTGGTACCTTTACCATCTCACTTTTTTTACCAATTATTGGTAATTTTATCAAGACAGACCGGTAAGCTTACCTAAAAACCGGTATTTTTACTGTTTTTTCAGGTAATGATACCCCTTAATTGGTAATCAATTCCCGGTAACTCTGCCATTTTATCTCGGTAATTCTACCACAGTCGATAAAAAATATTGGCGTTTTTACCAAGGTCCAGTAAAATTACCGAGAAAGTTCAATAATTTTACCGAGATTTCTCTACTGTCCTAAAACCTTCCTTTCTAGATGGAAGGCTCAGAAGTACAACATCCAGCCTCCTTTAGAGGCTTTCTTTTTATGGTCCCTTTTTATTATGTATCTCTAATATCAGTTATTTTAAAAAATCATTTCATTTACTGTATGAAATAAGTTTATTGTGTATTTATATTGTAACGGCAAACAAACAATAAAAAAAAAAAAAACCAAGAAAAAACTGGGATCAAATAGAACCCTGAATTCTTGGTAATTTTACCCTTTTCTTAGTAAATACACCGAGATTTTTTTTCAGTGAATGGCCCCGTCTCTTCTTCACGTGCAGAACTGCAGAAAACTAATCAAAGTGCATATTCGCGTTACTTAGAAGTTAAAATGTTCTACTAATTAAAGGACACGCTTCCAAACTATGAGTCAGCGAAAATAGCGATTAGACACGCTAAATTTACTGTTCTTCTTCCAGATAAGCAATTACCGCTCGCACCCGAAGACACATGAAAACGTCTCCAGAGATGATTCGCGAAATTACTTCTTGTAAAAACTAATTGAATGGATTCTGTTAGCGGCAATATGTCAAATGGATTGCATTTCGCAAAAAGGAACCACTAGCATTGCAATGATGCAAAGATTGTGCAACTTCATCCTTTGCAATAAATTTGCGGAAATTGTGAAAAACTATGAAATTTAGATGGTAATTTTTGTCTTAAATTTATAGTTTTTAGCGAGTAAAATAGAAGCTATTAAGGGATAATCGGGTTTTTCCTCCAATACAAAAGAAGTTGCACAATCTTAGCAACATTGCAATGTTAGTGGTTCCTTTTTGCAAAATGCAATCCAAATAATACGGAGGAATTTTATTGCTTTGTGTCTACTGCTGTGCTAAGGAAGAACGCCGTATAAGCTATTAGGCGTTGCCAAGTTTCCTCCGATAAAATACGAATTTTCAAGGAAACTGTTGGATATTTTTCTTAAAAATTTACAGAAAATTTTCTACACACTTTAATCCAACACATCTCAAAATTTTAATGAATACTATGCAAAACTTTCCTCTAAAATGCATTTTTTATCTGGGGAAAGGCAACTCTCAAATGTACATACGGCGTTCTTCCTTAGCATGGCAGTACAGCCTGTGTAAACAAAGAGCGTTTATGTTGCTAATTTGGCAATACGGACCGTGGTAGCGTCCCAGGAACATTGCGTTGAGGAACATTCAGTTATTTGCTTAATGGAACTCAATAAGAAGTTAATCGTTTAATTGTGATTTTCGAGTTTTTGAGGCCTACTGTGCGGACCCGCAGTTCGACAGACGCCGAATACGTTATTGATGCAATGACATGGTTGCCTAACTGTGTGAGAACTAATGAGCGCGCCGAAAAAAATCATTTTTATGGGGTCTAAGGCGCCAGAGATTCTTTTGGAGAACTGAATAACTTGCGCCACAACATATTCCATTCACCAAAAATTTGCGCCCGGTTGGAGCACTTGAAAGTGTGAGAGTTTTGCGATTTAAATACTGTTTCTGTGGTAAAATTTCGCGAGAAACACAATGGCAACTGGTTTTGTCTACAATAAACTCCAAAGCTTGAAAAAAACTCTCAAATTTGAGGCAGTGATGGAGGGGACAGCCTGCGCTACCCTGAGAGTCCACCTCTATATCAAGTCAAACTCTCCATGCAAGGATAGAGAGTAATTACATCAATAGGCACTTTTTTATGCAAATTGAATTTTTTTCAAAAACCGATTATAAATTACTTACATTTACGTTTTACACGATGGCCATTTCAAGTTATTTATAATCGGTTTTTGAAAGTTTCAATTTGTATCAATAGAAGTGTTCATAGTGCCGATAAAGTCTTAGAAAAATTGTGCATCATGCTACAACATACTGTACATTAATAGGGTTGCCGTGTTTTTAGTATAGGAGTTCCCAAAAGTTATAAGTGGCAACTCTGTTAATTTATTTGCTCCTTATCTTTGCATGGAGAGTTTGACTTGACGTAGAGGTGGGCTCTTAGAGTAGCTTGGGATATCACCAACATAACGGCCTCAACTTTAAGAGCTTTGGAGTGTTTGGCTTTTTTGAGCTTCGAGCACCATCGTGTGTCCTGCGAAATTTTACGAGGGAAACAGTAATTAAATTGCAAATTCTCGACATCTGCGAGAGTTCGATTCAATTCATAATACTGAAGTTATTGACAATAAGAAAAATTATACCGGCTATGATGATACAGTTAATTTTTATAGATCGAGATCCTTCATATAGTGACTCTCCAATCACACCTCGCCATAATTGAAATATGATCAAAGTAGTTGTCCTGTCCATACTCTTCCTATAAAGGTACTCTAATTTCACTCCTGGATTTTGAAGGTATTAGTGATTTTTGAGATGGTGGTCGATAATTGAAGTTAATTGTTTGTTGTGTGCAGGCGGGAGGATCATGGGTGTGGAGAAGATCGAGTTGGGAGAGAACGAGATCTCGCAGGAGGACAAAGCGGCCTGCCTGCTGCGGGAAGAGCTGCGGCTCGTGGCCAAGACGGAACTCAGGGAGGATGACGCAATCCGGACGCACGCCCTCAGACAGATGCGAGACTGGATCTCCAAACACCCAGACATCGAGTACTGCCGCACTGGTACGTCACTAATATTCTCCTTCATTCTATAGATATGCAATTTTACCTATTTTCAAGTCGAAATTTTGTATCATGCCTTTTTTTCTATTCATGTGCACTCCAATTTTTCTACTCTCGCGTTAAAGTCTCTGAGTGCGAAATGGAGGTCAAGTTGTCCTTCATTTTTGTGAACATGTAATTTGACCAGAGACAAAAGACCCTCCACTGGTATCTTGGCAATGGTGGAAGCTTTTACTTTCGGGACTATACAGCATTCTCCTGTTGACTTACCTGCATTGTTGGTGTTTAACAACGTGTTGGCAGTTTCGTTTTGCAAACAAGTCATAGTTTGGGAAACTTGTTTGGCTCATAATATCACCCAATGCTCATTATACACCATGTAGGAGGGTCAAAGGCCAAAATTATGGTGATGAGTGTTGCTGTTGCTTCTCATAACTGTCCATAAGGAATTGTTGAGTCCCCGAAAGTAAAATCTTCCACCTGTCGCCCAGAGGCCAGTGGAGGGTCTCTTATCTCTGAATTTGACTCACTTTGACGTTAAAATAGTTTTAGTAGTGTTTTTCAATTAGTGAGGTGGTTTTCCTCAATCTTATAGCTTTAAAATTTTACCTATTTTGAAATCGAAATAGTTGTTTCATGCCTCTCGCCTTATGCAACATTTCTACTCTCGCGTTAAAGTCTCTGAGTGCGAAATAGAAGTCAAGTTCTCCTTCATTTTTGTGAACATGCAATTTGACTTATTTTGAAGTTTAAATAGTTGTATCATGCATTTCACCCTATCCAATTTTTCTACTCTCGCGTTATAGTCTCTGAGTGCGAAATGGAGGTCAAGTTCTCCTTTATTTTTGTGAACATGCAATTTGACCTACTCTGAAGTTGAAATAGCTGTATCACGTGTTTTATCCATGCATCTGAAGTATATACTCTGCGATGGTGCCTTTGAATCGATTATCTATGAACACGCCAAAATTCAAAAGTTATTTTATGAGAAAAAGGACACTTTATAAAGGACCAGTAACTTTTTTTGTGCTTCTTTAAATCATAAATACAACCAAAACTTTTTTTTAAATAGTTAGAACCCAACATTCGTATGTCGGCACCTGTGTTATTTCTAACATGAGCCAAAAATAGTGGTTCTTTATCGCAAAATGTAGTCCATTTGACCATACAAGAAAAACACACTGAAAAATCTGGCCCGGACTGTCTGTAACGAGGTAGTGGAATAATGCCGGGTCCACACTATTTTACGGGGAGAGCAAGGCAAGAGAGTTCAAAAATTTCAATTGAAGCTCAAAAATATCCGCCGCCATTTTATTTTTTTACAGAGAGTTTGTTCAACGAAGCTGTCTGAAAGTTTCACTCAATTTTCTCTGCACTGCCGATGAAATTCAGTGAAATTTTTAGACGGATTCAATCAAAAATTTCCCCGTAAAACAATAAAATAGCGGCCGAAATTTTGAGACGTCGCATCGGACTTGTGATACTATTGCCTGAAAGTGACGATTTGACTTTCTGTACTTTCTAGCCTTGCTTTCTCCGCAGACTAGTGTGGACCTAGCACCATATTTCACTACCAGGGTGGTAAAATTTCATGAGAAATAATATCTTGAAATTTTAGGTGAAATACCTATCTCATGAAATTTTAGAAATTTATGAAAGATATTGAAAAATACCGGTTCCTCTTCACGTTTCGCCCAATGTAAAAATTGTGATTTTTAGCTATTTTTGGGTGTTTGAGTGCGGGTTGCATACTCTAGCCCCTGAAAAATATGAAATATCTCACAGCCTCGTGAAATTTCATGTAAAATTTCACTGAAATTTCCAATCTTTCATTTCTTTCTTACGTTTCATACCACCTTGTTCATCACCTTAATCTAACCATATGTTTACGTCAATACTGAGTGAAAATTGAAATTTTCCTTTCCAGACGCCCCATTCCTGCTGCGATTCTTGAGGACGAAGAAGTTCTGCATGCCGCTGGCCCAAGAGATGCTGGAGCGGTACCTGACGATCCGACAGATCTACCCGCACTGGTTCAGCCGATTCGACGTCCTTGACCCCACTCTGTCCGCCATTCTCGATAGCGGGTCAGTACCCTCGCTTTCTGCATCAGCGCACGCTCCCAACTGCACATGCACATGCACCTTGCTCACCACGTGAGCTTAAAGCTTCGAGATCAGAGCGTCGAGCCTTCGGATTTCGCAATTTATCGCGGGAATCGAACCCATCGTTGCCAGATTACACGGAAAATTCAACACATTTCTGCAGCACTGGAAAACAAAGTCGCTTGGATCTAGAGTCCAGAATCTTGGAAACAATGACAAGAAAAATACTCTTGATTCAATCGGTTTTTTGCTTCACTGGAAAAAAACACATTGGATCTAGAGTCCAGACTCTTAAAAACATCGACAGGAAAAAATACTCTTGATTCAATCGGATTTTTGCTTAAATCAAGAACCCAGCCTCTTAATTTTAAGCGGATTTCCTTTTGAGTTAAGCAAAAATCTGATTGAATCAAGAGTATTTTTTCTTGTCAATATTTTCAAGAGTCTGGACTCTAGATCCAATGTTTTTTTTTTTTTCCAGTGTTGTATCAAAAGGAAATCCGCTTAAACTAAGAGACTTGGTTCTCGACTTAAGCAAAAATCCGATTGAGTCAATGGTATTTTTTCTTGTCGATGTTTTTGAGAGTCTGGACTCTACATCCAAGCGATTTTTTTTTTCCAGGGCGTGCAACGCAAAAACGCCGTAAACGTCATTTTACAATTTTTGGAAACAACGTATTATAGCTGAAAAACTTGTGTGTCTTGGGACGAAAATTCACGAAATTCTTTCACGAAAATCTTTCGCAAATACAATCAAGAACTTAACTTGAAAATTTGAGGTGCATAGGTAAACGGTTTTTATGTCATGAAGTGTGAAGTTTCAAAAAAACGAGGGAAAATCTTGATGGATTTACGGCGTTCGTGCTTAACGCAGCAGATTTCTGCCGTTCAGAGCAAAAACGCTCCAACTCCACTCGAACTGTTTTCCTTTTTTCCAGCACGTACTTACTGCTCTATTACAAGAAAATTTCATTGCCACAAGACTTCATTTTTTCATCTTTAGTTCCTAATGATGTGGCGGAGTTGTATTAAAAAAATGAAGGATGGATATTTATTGGGTTCTTTGTAGAACAGTATTTTGTCAGAAAAAAATCGGAAAAGTGTTGAGTGAAGATACGGTGTTTTTACTATGGACGGCAGATTTCCACATTAAACTCACTGCAAAATGTCTAGGTTTTATTCGCACACTCTGGCAACCTTGATCATACCGCACGCTTGTGTCTCAGGCTTATGATCTTGACTTCGGTTTAATGCAACTTTGTGCGTGACAATGTAGTTCTTGCATGTCACAAAGATTTGCGCTTTTATGTATTTTTACGCATGTAGAAATTCGCGGGAAACACGATGGTCGATGGTGCTACGGGTTTTCTCTGAACGTCAACACCCAAGTCCGAAAAAAACTTTCGATGTTGTGATCAAGATTGAGGAAATGGAGAATTTGCATGAAAATGTTTTATATTGTTACATCTGAAAAAGCGTGAAGAGCTGACTGTACAGTATTTTTTATGATTTTTTTCTGATGTGGGAAATAGTATAAAAATAGATTTCAAAGTGAGAAAATGCACAGCCTAGTGACGTCGTCTGGCACGTATTTTAGCAGATCAGATAATTTTGTCATATCGTTTCTAATAATTTTTCAATTCATGAACCACACGGAGAAACAAACTTTGTGCATGGGACCCGAAGTTGAGGTAATATGGATCCCTGAAGTTTTCTGATCACGCATCCGAAAACTTGAGGTCGAGCTGCCGAAGTTCGGGTCAGACATCAAGGCACTTCGGTATGTACCGGAGTACTTCAGATGTGTGACCCGAACCCTTCTGTAGATATCGAAGTACTTCAGGTGTCTGACCTGAACTTCGGCAGCTGGACCTCAAGTTTTTAGATACGTGATCCGAAAACTTCAGAGATCCATATGGCCTCAACTTCGGGTCCCAAGCACGAAGTTTTTTTCCATGTGCAAGGGACCAAGGGTATCCTCGTGTTCAGTTCACTCAGTTGTTTCCACTTAAACACGAAATTCATCAAATTTCAGACGCCTGCAAATTCTCCCAGTAAAACTTCCGTTATTTTTCTTCTTTGTGTACGAAGAAAATTGTAAGAAAACTTCAATGTCTTTTACTCTCCTTTGAAAAAATAAGATAGGGCGGAGAATTTAAAACACAACAAACGAGATAACTGGTTTGGGGTTTTTTCCATCGATTTGCTTATTCTCGCAAACTTAATATATGCAAAGAAAAGTTTTTTAAACGCATTGTAATGACGTATGCATATTTTTGTGCGCAGGTACCTAATTCCTCTTCCAGAACGGGACGAATATGGAAGGTGCGTTCTTTTGGCATGCATCGGGAAGTTTGACCCTCACAAATACACTTCAGCAGACATGGCACGAGTACACAGCATGGTTGTAGAATTACTCATGGACGATCCAGAAAACCAAGTCAGAGGTACGTGGTTCTTGTCGTCATTTGACGTTGTAGAATGGCATATAACTGGACGTATTGCTGCCAAATGGAACTATGTGCATTAACACAGGAGCCCTGAATCTATCAGAATATATGCATAACAGGGCTCATGTCATAATGCACATAGTTCCGTTTGATAGAAGTACGTCCAACTTATCTGTTCTTAACTGAAAATTAGTTATTTGCGAAAAATAATTTACCGCTCTCATCAGAGTGGGTTCCACTGATCGAAAAAATGAGTTTAATTTGGACCAAACAATAATGCTCAAAGAATCCGACAATTTTTCTTTTTCTTATGAACTGATCCCAAGAATTCATACTACTGATAAATGCCACTTTATGATAAAAAAGATGTTGGTTTCGTATTTATCTCAATGTAGGAAAAGGAGCCCTAGTCCAGAAAAAACTTAACATTTAGGTGTTCCTGCTTCTTGCAAGTTCGCAATACTGCTTTCCCCCATTTAAAACCACTGCAAACAATCGATTTTAGGCGAGGTAATTTGCTTCGATACAATCAATCAAAATTTTGCTGTATAATCAAATATTAAAACCTATATGGCAGTATGCTTCACAACTATGGGGTTGTGCAAGCAAATCTAATATAAATAAGGTAGAAAGATTCCAGTCGAAGGTTCTACGAGAAATTATTGGAGTACCATGGTTCGTAAGGAACGAAGACATAAGGAGAGAATTAGAGGTACCCACGGTTAGACAAGTAATTGCTGAGACAACGAAGAGATATGAATGTCGTATTGAAAAGCATATCAATGTAGAGGCTTTAAACCTTTTAGATAGTACAATACCTGTGAAAAGGTTAAAAAGGTGGGAGACCTTTGAACTCCCATCAAGATTTAAGTAGTCTGTAAGGTATGAGTGAGAGTGTGAATGGAGTGTGAATGAGGGTGAAAGGAAGAATGCAAAACCATTAAACTAAAAACCTTTATGTTATAATACATTTAAGAAAGAAGGCAGAGAATTTACAATTCCTGTTCTTTTAGATAATCATAGTATTATCTAACGTTAACATATAAAATTAATGCAGTTTGTTAAGTTTTAGTTTTAAGCCACGTAGATAGATACAAGAAACACTTGTAGTAGTTACGATATATTTAAATAAAATTTCTTTAAAAAAAAAAAAAAAAAAAAAACAATCAATGGAGAATTTGCAGGTGTCTGAAATTTGATGAATTTTATATGAAAATGGAAACTCCTGAGTGAACTGAGCACGAGGATACCCTTGGTTCATAAATTGAGCAATTTTTGAAGGACATATGACAAAATGATCTAATCTGCCAAAATGCATGTGTTTAAATGGGAAATGCCGCAGTATGACGTCTGTAGGCGGTGCATTTTCTCACTTTTGAATCAATTTTAGACTACTTCCCATTACTGAAAAAAATTCTAAAAAATACTGCGAAATCAGCTCTTTAAGCACTCTCAGATGAAGCAATAAAAAATTGCGTGCTGATTCTCCATTGTTTTACCTGCGTTTAAAAGGTCAAAGCCCAGTGTTGTCGAATTTTATAAGAGTCTCCACTGATTCGGTACAGCCATGCCGTTTGAATCGGTCATTATTAGGCAAAAACAAACGTCAAAATGGCCGAAGAGGACATAAATCGATGACAAAGAACCACACTGAGACGATTCATGAGCACAATGATGTTCCTCGAAGGCATGCGTTTATTTTGCAACCATATGGGGAATGCCATAAACCGAACAATTTGTTCACGAGTTCTGCGCAGTAGCAATTTGTGGAAGCTCACAACACATCACTGCTTCTTCTTCCTCTAAATACATACAAATAATCGAATTTAGATTAACTTGGGCGTACATTTGGACTAAACTAGCCTCAGACCCCAACTTTAAACTCCAATCAATCCACTATACAGATAGGATATATTGAAATACATCCTGCATTTGAAAATGTTCCATCATGAAATAGGCTCCCTTTGCGTCCAATAGATGGTTTTATAATCTTATAAATTTTTGAGGCAGGAACTTCCCATGGCTGATATAGCTCTACCTAGCTCATTCCTTGTTGTTGAAAGAAACACTGCAGAAATATCATTATACAAACTTAAGGACGCGATATCCTAACTCCTAGCTCGTTAACACAAGCTGCAAAAAAGCTCCTTCAAGCATGAGGATAGGCCAAACAATAATCCTGGAACACTTCTTGCAACTTTCCATCTTCCTCATGGCTCAGTGTTTGCGCTTTGGTGCATATTGTAGACTTTCTTTCCTTCAAGAATTTCAAATGAGTATTGTAGAATCAGGTTTCATTCAAATGTGAATTAAACGTCTTTTTTTATGGAGATTGCTTCCATGTTCCACTTATTGAAGTATATTTCACATATATTTTTCTCTAACAGGGTATACATATGTGAATGACGACTCAGGTTTATCAATGTCTCACGTTACCTTATGGAGCCTCAATGATCTTAGAAGCATTATCCGGTGTATACAGGTACCTACATTTCAATACAAACATTTTACGTTAAGCATTACATTTAGGATGATTTTCCGATATCTCCTCAAACGCGCACTTAAATTGGACGTATTTCTGCTAAATGGAACTAGTGACAGGTAAGGAAGAAGGGGTGTGCTCGCTAGTTTTCGGGCCGTAAGAATAAATGGGAGTTATAAAGCGCCAGTGACGTAGCGGCGATGTCGTTCAGTGGAACGAGCCAATAGAAGAGGTCTGACATGAAATATTTGGCTAAAATTTCAAATTTTGATGTTCCTTTCGTCACATTTTAAACTTTGAAGAGTGTTTTTAGAAGAAAATTTCACGAGAAAAGCAATTGCACCATTTTTAAAATCTCAAAGTTTCGATTTAACGGAGTTCTAAGCTTTATAGGTTTCCCAATTTTTTCCGACCACTCCCAAAGACTCGGTCCACTGTGTAACGCAACGGGAACGCACATGGTCGGTTTTTTTTTTTTTTTTTTTAAAAAAAACCATAATTAATTAGAACAAATTAATGAGTTAATTAGAAAATAATTAATTGATTAGTAATTTTATAGAGATAATGGGCCCTGTCCACAACGCTCTTTTGCCATGCCCACATGAGTGCCGCATACAGTGTTTGGCGCTCGCAGAATTACCGAATAGGGTATCACGCTCACTTTCACATTATTTCTTATGCTGCTCACCACGAGCACACCCCATCTTTCCCACACGTCTCTACTTCCGTTTATCAGAAATACGTCAACTGAGATTACCGACAATTTTCAGTAAATATTTCTGGAGTCATGATATTTACATTAATTAATATTTCGTAAGCAAAATATGTTTCAAAATCCTTACGCAAGCACCAACAATACTTGTTATATTGCTGTGAATTCATAATTATTCATTATGATTTCAATTTTTCTACACTAGCACCAAACAATTTTTCATTTAAGTCTATGAAAATACTTAAACGTCTCTCCCGACAATGGAATACTATAGAGGCGCTTAATTCACCGTTGTGGAGCATGCATTTTGAGAAATTGGCTGCAAAATAAAAATAATTTATTAATAATTATTATTACTAATTCTTTACGGGCCTATCGTTTCAAATGTATGTATCATTCTGTTCAGTTACCATCTGCGATACAAATTTTCTTGGAGGCCAGGGAAATGAACACAATTAAAATATTTGATCAGTTTCAGTTTGTTAATTTTAGGTCTCTATAGAGGTGTATCTTTCTTTTTTTCAGAATTCCACGCCCATGAGGCATAAGGCTACTCATTTCTTCAATGTACCAAATTTTGCAAACAAAGTATTCGATTTTGTCGTAAGTCTCATGAACGAAAAACTAAAGAACCGGGTTACGGTAAGTTGAATCAAATTTTTCCTCTAACGATCATTACTAGTAGCTTTAAGGGATCTACAATATATCGACGGTGTAAGTCCGCAATCACATAACTCGGTTTGCGACGTCGCAGACTTCCTGTCATACTTTATTTTTTAAACGGAAAACTAGTCAACGACAATTCTTTAGAACTGCCGTGATTTGTTTTCTCTGTGCGAAGAAAATTTTGCATAAACTTCAAGGAATGGTGTCAATTTGTTATCCTTTAAATCCATAGGCGGAGATTTTCAGACACCAAAAACGAGATATATGATTGCGGACTTACGTCGTCGATATGACGTTGGTATTTTAGGAGCAGATACAAATACTTCAAGCGTATTCCAAAGTTTCATCAAAACTCAAGCCTTGCTGAGGGCCCTGTTCCCTTATCCATTGGACGAGGAAACTACTGTTAATAACCTCACAAAATTCAAACATCCTACTTAATAAACGGATCCTCTACAACGGGGCAGTTGAAAATTTTTTGGAAGTTTTGGACTTCATTCGTTTGAGTCTCAAAACATCCGGGCGGAATAGTAAAACATTATGTTTGAATGCTCCGTCTAACGAGTTGAAATAGTGCAAGTAATCCTTGATGCTAATTTTCGTACGATTGGATTAGAGGATTAAAGAGCGATTAGCTGTTTAGATACATATGCATATGCTACTTGGTTACATGGGAAGACATTTAACTATCTCTAAAACGGAGAGTTATAGACTATATAAGACGAGTAAAAACAGTAAGGAAAATTGTGCCTTTAAGGTGGGAAAATGAGATAGAAATACCGCACTACCACACTGTGGTTTACTACGCTGCCGAGCTAAGGAAAAACGCCGCATGAACCTTCAGTTGTTCCCAAAGTTCTTTTGATAAAACACACAAATTCCCTGGTGAACTTATGAATATTTTTCTACCAATTTTATGGAGAATTTAGTTCGAGCTTTGATCTAAAGTTCCTGAAAATTTCAAGGAAAAATATTCATAATTTTCTTCAAAAATAAACATTTTATCGAAAGAAATTTGGCAATTCTCGAATGTTCATACGGTGTTCTTCCTAAGCACGGTAGTATGGCACAAATTGGAGTGGCCTACTCCGTAACATTTGACGCCAAAATCACCGAAAGATCAATAAATTGAGCAATGGGCCTGTTGCAAACTTTTGCTAGAGCAAAAATAAGAGTTGTTTCTTATAGATAATGCCTCAAAAATCACGATGAGCGCATCGGCAAAGTCTGAAATGCACTCATAACTTCACAATCTGCGTAAGAAATTTGCGGTTTTTTGAGCTTCCCGCTTCGAAAACGATACTACGGCACAGGTGAACATTTTGTAAGAGGAGTCGTTCCATCGTCGGCGATAATCATCATGGCCGACGCCAATCCGCCAAAACACGTTTGATGGGACGAGATAACATCTGAACTGGATTAGACAAGATAACAATCGGTGTGTTAACGTTCATATTTTCCACGCCCGCATTGATTGACCTTGAACTCTCCTCGAATTACGCGCGGAACTGCGTGCAAGCGTCGGCCATGATGAATATCGCCGACGATGGAGCGACTCCTCTAACAAAATGTTCACCTGTGCCGTAGTATCGTTTTTGAAGCGGGAAGCTTAAATAGACGCTAATTTCTTACGCAGATTGTGAAGTTATGAGTGCATTGCAGACTTTGCCGATGCGCTCATCGTGATTTTTGAGGCATTATCTACAAGAAACAACTCTTATTTTTGCTCTAGCAAAAGTTTGCAACAGGCCGATTTAAAGTAAACCGTATTTTTTTTCTTTTCTTTTTTTTAAATGCATCGGAAAAACTCAGTTTCCATCATAAGGTACAATTTGCCCTGTTTCGTCACAAACCATCTGTCGAACGAGGGAACGCGAACATAGCCACGTTTTAATGTTGCAATATTTCCGCTCCTGGATTGCATTATTATTAGGGAACTTTTCCGCTTTTCTGATTGAAATTCTCACTAATTTCTCTACCAAAAGTTCTATGAAAGAACCAGGAAAACGTACCGTTGGACAGCAATCGCACCGTCATGTCATATTCTTGTTATAAAATTGTATTGTTTGAGTCAGCCTTGAAATATTGCACTGACGCTGAGCTCTTCCGTCTGAAGGACGGCGAAATATTGAAACATGGTAAATGAGAACGAACGTCAAAATTTTCTATGACCAAGTGAAGTATGTCTTTCGGACGTGAAAAATAGTTTTGTTTTGAATTGAGTGTGTATTTTGTTTTCCAGTTCCACTCGAACGTAGACGATATGAAGCGAGTGATTGACCCGAAGATCCTTCCCCGGGAGTACGGTGGAGAAATTCCCACTGCAGATTTGATCTGTAAGTACATTTGGACGTATTTCTACCAAACAGACCTATGTGGCGGTGAGAAATATGGGGTGTGCTCTAGAAATCTGCATAAGAAGCAATGTAAAAGTGGGCGTGGTTCCTTTTGAAGAATTGGAAAAGCGGGATAATGCATTCTATCAAACAGACCTATGTGTAACTGAGTGCGGAACTCATGAGCCGCGGGCAGGGCAAGAAAGCGTTGTGGACAGGGCTCATGAGTTAATGACCGATGAGGAGAGCTGCACGACGGCATCCATCTCCGTTGACGTCACTGGCGATTTATTATTCTCATTCACTCTTACGGCCAGAGAACTAACGAGCACACCCCATATTTCTCACTTCCACATAGGTCTGTTTGGTAGAACTACGTCCATTTAGAGCCTAAAAATTGATGGATAGATTTGATGCATTCAGAGCGAGGAGGGTGGATAAGTCGCCGCCGCGGCACGTCATATACGTAGAGAAGATTTAACTTCATGTAACACATCCGAAGTAGCACAGATTGCAATAAGTAGCAATGGACCACTAGATGAGGTACGAATTTCAGCATTCTGATACATGTTTCTTAACCAAGATTTTACGTAAAACACGATGCACACAACGAAAATTACCGAAATTAACTCCTTACGAAGATATTTAATGATTCTTGATGCGTGAATTCAAACCGCCCGCTCATGAAAACACAATGCTCTACGTGATTCACATCGCGCGCTAAACGTTATCATGACAGTCTCTGCGATATAAAAATCTGGCAACCTTAATCTTGACGCTTTGGCTCAGTTATAGCAAATTGCTAATAGTTTGAACAACACATGATGGGAAATGAACATTGCTCGATTGAGAAGCTTGCTGAAACCGTTGTAGTGGGCGATTTGACTCACGTAGAGTTTTGAGTTTCTTGTGAGCGGGCAGTTCAAATTCCTCGTAACGAATGTGAAATAAAAACGTTAATATCTTCGTTAGGAGTTGGTTTCCGTAATTTTCGTTGTGTGAATCGTTTTCCACGTGAAATTCTGGTTAAGAAACATGTATCAGATCGCTTAAATTCGTATCTTGTCTAGTGGTCCATTGTATTGTAAAAATATTGCAATTCCATTGAGTGTTGTGTATGTTGCCTAGCTCTTATTTGAAGGGGCCCCGTTTTGTAAACTTACTGCAATAAAATTGACTTAAGTTGCAATTATTCATTGCATTGCATATTACCTATCTGTCTGACACACATGTAGCCCATTTTTTTAATTGCTTAAAATCGTCATAAATCAACTAAACGATGTACAAATATTGGAATGTCATGGTAAAAAAATTACAATTTTATTGAAATCAAATTGCAATTTAATTTCAATATTTTCATCGCACTGTCCTACTTGGGTTGGGATGTTCTGTGATTATTTTACCTACATTAAAAAAAATTGTGAATGGATCAGTTGCGCTGGGTACATAATCGTATTTTGATGCTTATTGCTTTTTGTAGATCAGCTGAAAATAATAGGATCTGCACAAACATCAGCTTCTTCTTCTATGTTTAATATTAACTAAGATATCACGTTTTGAAAATGTTGTGGTTCATGAAGTCACACACCGCGGTATAGTGACACCCTTGGTTTTTCCACCTTGCTTTCATCCGAGTTTCACGTTGAGTAACTAGTGCATATGTGTGGTCCACTAATAGACGAATGCAATTCGGAAGCATTCAGAAGATAGCACATACTGCTGTCTCGTCCAACACTTACCACACATGAAAATGAAAAATATCATTTTTATGTAGTTGAAAATAAAATTCGTCCATTTTTAATCATCCAAACGATTTATAATAATCTACCGGATGATTAAAGTCAATTTGACAAAGAAGAGGGTCTGGCAACGGCGCCAGGAGTGGTGACAGCCCGAAATGTAACGCTCCGTCTATCAAATCTTTTCAGCCCTAAATTTTAACTTTCAGTTCCTAATTTTATACCAAGACGTGTCCTTTTTCTCTGTGCTTTCGGCTGTGTTATTCATTTTCACTTTTCTCAACGGGTTTTCTTATTTTCAGTGAATTTTCTTTGTGACTTTACAGATTTTTGCCCTTTTTTTTACTTGATTATGTAACTCTCAGTTCGGTCTTATCTCTCTTTTGTTGCCATTTTTCACTACTCTGCCGTCTAATTTTATCAGATTTAATTTTAAACTCCGCTCTGCTTTTTTACCATTTCTGAAATGAACTCTTGTTTACATTTTCATCTTTACTCTCCGCCGGACTTTTTATCAATCTTGCTTTTGTCTTTATTCACCATCTACGCTCAGTACTCTACAAAATGCTCTCAGTCCTTGCTTTCGTAGTAGATGTACTGGTAACCGCGTGCTCCTTGAAGTGCTCAAGTTTTCCTTGGACTGTTGTGGAAAAGTCTACCATACGCGTTAGTGCCTGCAACTTACCGGGATCTTCGTCGCTTTGGCCGCCTTCCATCTGTCTCTTGTACTGGAAAAGTTCACCAAACGAGTGATGACTGGTCTTTTGACTTGGTCTTTTGGACTTTAAGACATTAGTTTTTTAGAGGTTACCGCCTTGGATCTGGAACCGTAGCATGTACTCGCCCTCCCCCCTTCGAAAGAGGAACAGTGTGGGATGTGGCAGACTGCCGAGTTTTTAAACCTGGAGGAAGGCGCCGGGTTTCCAGACTCAGGGGCTGCACCTATTTTGATTGATTTTATTTTCAGTTTTTTCTTTTCAGTTTTAGTTTCAGTGTTCGGTTACCGCCTTGGATCTGGATCCGTAGCATGTACTCGCCCTCCCCCCTTCGTATGAGGAACAGTGTGGGTTGCGGCAGACTGCCGGGTTTTCAAACCTGGAGGAAGGCGCCGGGATTTCAGACTCAGGGGCTGCACCTTTCCGCTAGTTTCAGTTTTTATTTTCAGTTTTTAGTTCTTTAGTTCTTTAGTCATTTATCTATACATTTAGTTTCAGTCTTTTTATTCCCCTTCCTTGCGCCGTTGCCAGCCCCCCCTCCCCCTGCAATTTATATCATCAGACCTTTATTTTTGGGGGAGGTGTCTCTTCAGCCCTTTTATTATTTCAGTTTTTTCAATTTTAATTTTCAGATTTTAATTTTATCTCAGTCCTTTTGTGCCCCTTTGTCCTTTTGTATTTCAGTTCTTTGATTTATTTTCAGACCTCTAATTTTATCCCAGCCCTTTTAAATTTTCAGTTTACTCAGACCTTTTTTATCTCTCAGCCCTTTTAATTTTACTTACTTATGTAATTCTAATTATCTGCCCTTTCTAACGACTTTTCAGTTTTCAGTTTTTATTAATTTACTTTCAGCCCTTTATTTGACTCTTCAGCCCTTTCTTTTAAGTTTTAACTTTTTTAAATTCAGACCTTTATTGATGTAAGTCCCTGTTTTTCCCCCTATTTTACAAGGTTCATGCCTCAAGGCCAAAACCTTTTTATTAGTATTGTATTCCATTTGTATTCCATTTGTAATCTTACTAATAAACTACATCCGTTTTTGGAGCAGCAAAAAAAAAAAAAAAAAAAAAAAAAAAAAAAAAAAAATTTGACAAAGAACAGAGGCTTCCCTCAATACACTTTTCCACCTACCCAAGTAGCATAGTGCAACAAAAATATTGAAATTAAATTGCAATTTGATTTAAATACAACTGTAATTTTTTACGAGTAAATAGCAATATTTTTATATCATTTAGTCGATTCATGCCGATTTGAAACAATCAACAAAATGACCTCCATGAATCAGAAAGATAGGCGATATGCAATGCAGTGAAAAATTTCAACTTACTTCAATTTTATTGCAATCGGTTTCAGTAAACGGGGCCCCTTCAAATAGGAGCTAGGCAACATACACAACACTCACTTGAATTGCAATATTTTCACTATGTAATTGGTTTACTGCAATCTATGATACTCGGGTAGACGCCACGGAGCCCATTTTCTCCAAACTCTATTTCCAGGCTCTCTTCGCTGTCACAACAGTGTGACTGTCGTTCTAATGGGTCACTAAACCTTGTTTATTTCATTTCATATTCTGAAAGTACTAGATGAGTAGATAATGTGATGATTTTTTCGCATTTTTTGGAGCCGAAATCGCGGAGCAAACTGCTTTTGAAAAATCCAAAAATTGCAAGACATTTCAAACGCACCCGAATGGCGAGAAACTGACGGTGGTGATGTACTGCGGTAGTCAAATCGCAATCTTTTCTCATTTCCCACTCATGTTTGTTAAAATAAAACGTATTTCAATGTGGAATTGTTGTTTGTTTACTACAGATAACATAAATGAGATTCGATTCTTAAATTCTAAAGATACAATTTTGACTTTAGTTTGTTCTCACGGACGAGGAGTGGATAGAAATTTGACGGAAGTCGTAGAAACCTGTGCTCGCTTCTGATTCGTGCCGAATGACATCATTCGGTTCGGCGCGAAACCGGGGCGTTTAAAATTTACGGATAAGTTGAGCGATTTGAACTACGTATTTCTCGGTTTCCGAGTTACTTTTCCGCGTTTTCAATGTGCGTATCGTGTTCTACGCGTCGATTACCTTCAGAAAATGTATTCGCAAGTCAAAATTTGTCCCATTTTAGTGACTTATTTTATTAGCGATTGACTGGTGCTCATGATTACATTTCGGATTGTTTCAGCGCGATTGAAGAAGCAACTGTTGGAGAAGCGAGAGGAGCTACTGGCGCTGGACAAGATGAAGATCAACGTTAGGAATAAGAAGATGGAGTTCGAGGTGAACGATATGGCCGGCTCCTTCCGCAAGCTTGAGGTCGACTGATCGTCCCTCCGCGCATGCTCAGCGCTCATTGGCCCAAACCGCTCACCCCCGCCGCCGCTCCTCCGGTATGCCGCGTTCCATATATTTAGAACCGCCTTCTATAATCAAAATGAAATTTTCTGGTTGCATTGACTGTCCCAAAAAGAAGAATAAAAAACATTGAAAACATAAAGAAAGTAAATGTACAATACTAAGAAAATAAATAAATAAAATAAAGGGAAAAATAAATAAAAAAATAATAAAGAAATGTAAAGGGTTTTAAATTAAAAAGATATAATTCTTAGAAATCTGTTAAGATATCCGAGTTCTGAAGCCCCCTCCTTTAATTCTTAAGTAATAATGCCATTTGGATAGCATTTTGCAATTCGGAACTATAGGCAGAACAGTAGGTTTTCAGGAGAGCAACTTTTGCAAAAACCATTGGCGTTTTTCATCAAAACGATCAATGTTGCGGTTTGATGGTTCATTTTATAGCTATGGAGTTCCTTTAACACCCTGTGTTGACAGATTCGTCAAAAACATCACACTGTTGCCAATAATTACAAAAAAAGGCTATAGTTCCTTATTGCAAAATGAAGAATCCTGGGAAGCTCATTTTGCAATTAGGAACTATAGATTGTTTTAGCACTGACTGCATAGGGGAGACGACC